AGGCACAGGGAGACAGATGGGAGATGGCAAGAACACAGTAACACAAACAGTCTAATTTTATTGGAAAGGGTAAAAACTCCCTTGTGCTGCTGTTCTGCAGCGTGTCCCACTTACTGCCTTTCCACATAAGACTCCACATGCAGAACCAGACATGGCATCGTTAACCTCCACAATCTCCCAAATTCACTGGTTAATTATACGCTGTAGAAACGAACCTCTTGGTTTTGACCTAGTTTGAGTGCCACTGAGTGGGTAAATCATGTCTGATATGAGGTAATACACTTCTGCCTTTGCATAAAGAATAGTTTTGAGTGCTAACAAGACATCAGGGTGGGAGTTTTTTTCATAATTCTGAATTATAACACCCTGAAGTAAATGAAAAAAATAATTAATCACTTTGGGGCTGGGATCAGGCCAAGTGTGATCTTGAGACATTCCCAAGACATCAACCCTCACATCAGGCATTTATTAGTTAAGGAGATGTAAAATCATCAACCCCTTTATCTACACACAGCAGAATATTTTAAAAATGGACATACTTTTGTAAAATTATTTGGGAAGAACTCATACTAATGCAGGCAGGGGTAAGGGGAGCAAATAAGGAAACGTAACGTAACATAAACAGGAAGGTTGTGGAGGTAGAGATCACCCTGCAGCAGCTGGGATGAAATGTGGGTTTCAAGGCCTGAAGAAGCCACAAGCACAGGAATATTCCCTGCCCCATTAAGCAATTCACACATAATGGATTAATGAGTTGCTGATATTTCTATCACGCTGGGGCAGTCATTAACAAATTCTGTTTACTGCCTGGATAGCAGATGGGGCCACCTACTCATGCCAGGGATGGAAACACTCCTAAAGCTTCAGGGCAGGATGGGGGGATGCTCAGTAATCCTTCAGGAAGTGTGTTAGTGGTTCAGGTATTAAGTGGGTTCACAGGAAATCCCAGGGGAAAGGGAAGCCTGAGTGAAGAGAACCACAGGCAGTGTTTGGATGTTTGAGGTTACAGATACCCCTGTACCCTGTCCAAGGGTGTCCCCACATCAGCGCTCCTCCCCAGAAAAAGCCCTGGGATAAAAGTTTTGCTTAAGATGTGCTATTTCCTCCCCTTTAGCTCTCTAAACTCAAATGCTGACCTGGGGATTTTTTTAATGAAGCCCCTTTTTTGCTGTTCCCATTTGTTCAACAGATAAACTGCCTATCAGCCATTCACTTTTAATTTCAAGTGTGCTCAGCACTGAGGCTTGGTGTAATTAAAGCCCCTTTTCAGTTATTCTGGACTGCAATATTTACTTTTCGTAACAAATACCAAAGAAATGGTTTTGCATGACTGACTGACTGAAGGAAACACTCCAGGTGCTCATCTGTTCTTCGGTAACAAGTTTTTTTTTAATTTAAATGCAGAATTTTCCAGCTCTTTTTTTATCTTTCAATGCTCAAAACCTCAGTGACCCCCGTGAACAGCTCTGAGTCAGTTCTTCTCCTGGTGTCAACACTTTGCATGCTTCCTGGAGCAGAATCTGCATGGAACAGTGAAGAGTGAGATTTTGAACAAACAGGCATGAATTTGTCTCACCAAAGTATTCCGAGCACCAGCCCCAGAACCCAAATGTCCCAGAACCCAAATGCCCCAAATAATGAAAAGCTTTGTTGGAAATTCCTTCTCCTCCTTGAGTAACAAACTAGGTAGGAAAATACTCAGCACCAAGGACTAGAGCAGAGGTTTTTCAGCCACTAGGCCCTCTACCAACAACTTGTTGCTCAGAATAAAACTCGTTTCCCATTGCAGTCTCACGTTCCATGCATGGAATTTGCAAAAAAGATAAGGAAAAGCCTCTAAAATACCTAAACAAAAGCTGCTTAGTTCAAGCTTTCATGGCCACATGGAGACTAATAGTTATTAAGGCAATCAAAGACTCTTTGGAAATTAAAGTTTGCGCCCCAGCTCAAGCAGTTTTACCCCAAAGTGCCTGCAGGCTCTGTAGCTTTGCAGCCTCCTACTTTTCAACCCCGCAGACCAAGAGGGCTCTGTCTCAGGCAAGAATGCAGCTTCCAGCCAAGATTTGTCCACGCGCATTCTTAGGCATGAATTGTACCACCAAGAAATCTCTAATGTCGATTTGAGGTAGGATAAAGTTGGATCCGCAGATCTTGGTGTGCTCAAAAGTTGTGTCTTGGACTGGAAAATAAATAATCAGGAAAATTTTAGCCTATAAAAGGAGGACATTTCACAAACTTACGGCTTATCAAAAATTAGAATGACACAGAAGCAATTATTCATAACTGAGTGTGGTGCCCCTCACACAGCCTACACCCAGAGCTTCTGCCATCAAAGGGCACTTTGTCACTGCTTTCAATGGACACAGGATGTGACCAGAGCAGCATCTGCAGCAGCTCCCAGAGAGGAACACGAGGGAAAAAAGATCTTCATTTGTAACTCAGTGTTTCATCTTTCAAAAGATCGGCTTCAGATGTGCTTCGGAAACTCTTCTTTTGGGTATCTCTTTCTTTCACCAAGCTGCATATTTATCAGCTCTATCTAGACATGATCTTAGGAGCTTATCTCCCAAGAGATCAGAACTTCTTTCCAATTTGCTTTTGTATTAAAATAATCAGGGCTTGAAATCAGCTTTTTTATTTTTTTATTGCTCACAATCTTTGCTATTTTCATCATGAGCAAGCAGCACATTTCCATGTCTTTTTTGGGACTTTCTGCTTATTTATTTGCTCATCTGCCTCTAGCAAGTCCATGAGGACAGAAAAGCAAGAAACTGCAGGTGAAAGGGAATCAATAATCCATTTGAAGATTAAGGAAATCAAGGAGATGTGCTTTCAAATTTTAATTCTGGCAAGGAATTCCTGCAGACCTCCTGCAACTCAACCTCTCAGTAGCTTTGTTTCTCAGCTACCATGGAAAAGTGAGGCAAGTAACACCCTTCTACTTTATGAGAGCATTTCACAGCCAAATAATTGAGGACCAGACTTGTTCCTTTTTATTTTTTTCTCTTTTTTTTTTCACATTTTTGACAGCTTACCCTGTAAGTGTCCCCCCAAGGACCAGCAAACCAGCATGACAACTCCAGTGACAGGATTCCTGAGGGACCACTTGCACAATCATGTATTATTACCTAATAAAGAATGACAGAATCTGGCTGTTAAAACTTCAAGAGATCCTCAAACACTATAGTGACAGCAAGCATTAAACCATAGATAAATTACATCTAAAACAATCCCACTTTGCTGCATTCCCAACTGCTAAAACATCCTGTGATTTCAGCATTGCTACTTTATTCTCAGCAGGGCTTTTTTTTTTTTGTTTTTTCCATCTAAAACCTCTGAATTTCTCCTCAGACAAGGACATAATTGCAGATACTGCTGCCAGGTAAAATTACTGCAGAGTTCTGGTTCGTACAACTTTTGGGAAACATTGGAAATAATTTGTTTTTTGAGTGCTGAGGACTAAGTATCCTTCCTGCTTAGAAAGAAACAAAACTTCTTTCTGGAATTACTACAGGTACTGTTACAACAGGATTTATATAAATTAAATTAATAAACCAAAGTGTTTTAAGCTTCTGGATATCCTTGGTGTGAAGTAATTTTGCCTGAAGGATGTGTTAGGCTGAGGATTTACAGTTTTAACACTCCTTCCTAAACAGTTTGACGCTTCAATTTCTCATTACCACTTCTACACTCCAACATGGTCCAACATCTGAAAGGTGGAATAAATAACCTATGGCCTGCTGCAATCATTAAAATGTATTTGGTTTAAATTTTTTGGAGTTTTGAAGACTGAGGCTGAGCAAGAGGCAGGATGATCCCGGGCTGGCTGCAGCCACGTTCTCATCCTGAGGGGGAATCAAGAATTCATTGCAGCAATCATTTTCCATCCATAATCTTCTGAGGGCTTATTTATACTCGCAAAAAAATATTTTTCTTTCATAGAGAGTTGTCTTAGACGTGTCAAATTAAAGAAGTGAAGGAACTTGGGGGGCGTCCCTCGGCACGGCCATAAGGGTGAGGGGTCAGAGCAGAGAGATCCTCCCACCACGGCGGGTTATTTATTCTGTAAAGGTTATCTATTCTGTAATTTATCCACTATATTTATTCCGCAAAGGTTATTTATGATGCTATTTATTCCTGTTATGTATCCTGTAAAGCCCTTTCCTCCTCCCCGAGCAGCGTTCAAAGAGGTGGGCAAGCAAATTCCCACTCCCGTTTGTACAGAGAGGGGAGAACAGCAGAGGGAATCGAGCCGCTATTCAAACTCACAGCCCACCACTTAAAGGCAATTACACTTCCCACGGGGGAAAAGCATGAGTTAAGAGCTGGGTTTTTTAATTTTTTTTTTTTTTTTTTAACATTCATCGTTTCAAACGCGGCAGCGGGGAAGCTCGATCACGCCACGTCTAGCACGGAGAGGAGCCTCCTTCCCCTCATGGCGCCACTCCCCTTCCCCCTCACCCCGGCAAAGCACGAGTTAAGAGCTGGATTTATTTCTCACACTATCATTACTATTATTATTATTTAAACATTCATCATTCCCAACGCGGCACGGCGGAGGCGGCTCACGCGCTCCCTCACGGAACCGCCCCCCGGCCCCTCACGCAGAGGGCGGGAAAGCGCGGCGGGCAGGGCGGGCAGGGGGCGTGGCCTGGCGCGGCCATTGAGGCCGGGCGGGTAATGGCGGCCGGGGGCGGCGGCGCCGCCTGGCGGCGGGGCGGGGGGGCAGCGGGGGCTGAGGGGGCCGCGCCGTGAGGGGACAAAGCGCTGGAGCCGCCAGGTAAAACCCCGGGAGAAGGGAGCGATGGTGCGGGCTGGGAAGCGGCTGCGAGGAGGAGATGGGCCGCGCTGACGGCGCCGAGCCCGGCTGCGTGTTGGCGGCAGGAACCGCTTCCCCTCAGAGCGAGTTTCCCCCGCCGGCGGGGTCGGGGCTGAGGCGGAGCCGCCCCGCTGTAATTGAACCCCGGGGTGAGGAGGGAGGGACGGACGGAGGGAGGGACCGCGGGGGCTCCTTCTCTGCTTTGTGTCCAGGTGGCGAGGCCGAGGGGCGGCCATGGGGGTGCAGGACCGGCCCCAGTGCTTCTTCGAGATAGAGATCAACAGGGAGCCAGGTAAGGCTGTGTTCGGGGCTTTTAAATCACGTTTTTTTGCCTGCAAAATGGGCCCAAGACGCTAGCAGCGAGTTTGGCCATTGATGCGTTATTTCTGAGTTACTTTTTAATAACTTCGGATGTTTTCTGGGGTGCTGGATGCTCCTCGTTCCCCCTTGAGGTCGATTTTTATTTGCACACGTGAATATAAAGGTTCGGCAGGGCTGATAAACGCTGTTCTGGAGGTTGTTTGGTTTTTTTTTTTGTTCTGACTCTGTCTGAAGGATCTCTCCCTGCGCTGTTTTCTCTGCTCTCCCTGCACAGGTTGCTGCTCCCATTTCATAATCTCTCCTCCTGCCTCTTCCCCTCCTCAGCCTTGAGCTGTTCATCTCCAGTGAAAGTGGATTACCTCGTTTTCCCCCAAACCTATTTGGGTTTGGTGACTGATAGAGCTGTCAGGGAGGAATTGCAGTGTTGGTGTTCTTGGTGGTGCAGAGCTTGGGTTACCTGGAGCAGACCCAGGGCTTTGGCTCTGTTTTTGTCTGTCTGCATTTATTTTCTTTTGGAAGTAACAGGAATCTCCCAGCTGCACATCAAACTTGGAGCCCTGCTGGTTTCATTACACCTGACTCATGGCTTGGATTTTTGCAGGAAAAATGCCAGTTTGTAAAATTGGTGTTGGGACTTGCGTGCTGGCTGGTCATGCTACTTTATTCTGGTGCCATTTTATTAATTCACCATGCAACTCTGGCACAGGATTTAAGGATATATTTTAAAAGCTTAAACATTGCTCTCTTAGCTCTAAGATGACCTTCAGAAGCTGAATCAAGTGGTAAATCAGTGCTTCCAGATGACACCAAGCACTTACTCAGAGATGTGCTCTCCTGCTGGCACTAGTGAGGTATTCATTTTAACTTCTACACTGCCAGCAGATTTCCAAATGAACATTTTGCTTATTTTGGCTTCAATAAATAAGCTGATATGCTTATTGCATTTTAGGAGAAGTGGGGAGCAGAACAGCCTTGCATTTTGTTGCTAGCCAACAAAAAAGGCCTTGCCCCCACCTTGTGTGCACTGAAAAGCTGAACCAACATCTCCAGAAAATGCAGAGAGAAGGGGACGTGCCTCTTGCAGCAGTGGAAGCATCTTTTTGCCTGCAGAACACAAAACTGGCTCCTTTTTTACACTGTAGGTTGCTGCCAGTCCAAAACCATTCCCCCCACGCAGCTGCCAAATCTTGGCTCTGCCCTTCCAGGCTTTGCTTGCTCAGGGTGTGCCAGGATACCTGTAGCAATTAAAAGCCAGGTCAGTTTTACTCTAATAAGATCCCTTGGAAAATGCAGGAGCGAAGCTCTGTTTTGGCTGTGCTTCCAGAAGCTTTATTACAGCTTTTGTGTCCATATTTTATTACAGCTACAGAACCCTAGAATAAAACTCAGTGCCAGCTTGTACTTGCCTCTTGCAGTGGGGCAAACTTTGTTGACTTGGTGTTTTTTAGAGCTAAATTTAGTCTGCTTTTAAATAAGTTGCCTGTTAAGCATTTTTTTTTTAATAAATGCAGGTTGTGGCTCATAATTTTTAAAGAGCAAATGGAAAACAAATCAGGGAGAAGCATTTATTTTGATACTGGCACAAACAGTGCTTCTCCTTTCTTTTGGGCCTCCCACCAGTGGATTTGGGCACATTGAGTGTGCACACAGGATTAAACTGCTTACAGTATTCCAAGAATTTTGGGATGGTGGCAGATGCCTATTTAAATAATTCTGTCTTTACTCTGTGAGGCAAAATCTGTGTGAAGCTGCAGCCTTTCAGGTACTGTGGTAATTGGAACAGATGTCCCACTAGGATGTCACAGATGCAGTCTGCTGCTGTAGCAGCTCCTGTGGCCATCCAAGATCTTTTTCCCACATCTCACCCCACCCTCTGACTGGTGTCATCCATCATGAAGTTTGGTAAATTTACTCAGTTTTGATTTGTTTCATTCTTATTCATAGATTTTTTTTTTTTTCTCCTGTCTTCTGTTACTGTTTCACCCCTGGCTCATTGATTTGTTCCACTTCAGTTTCTTTCATTCCTGGGATGTGCCCCTTCCCAGAACAATCAGTCTGGTCTTTCTTTACTTCTCTCTTTCTAGTCACTTTAGCCTGAAGTTTGGTGTATTTTGGGATTTCAGCTGCTGTGAATTTATGTGAAAGGAGCACCCTTGCAACAGTCATTCTCTTGTGCCTCCAGTAATAGACCCAGTGATGCCTTGTGGAGTTTTTGTTAAATTCCTAAAGACAGAAACTGTTCTCAACCGGCTCCACATTAACTTTTAGTCTTTAGAAGGGAAAAAGTTGTATATTTGCAGAAAATAGAACCCAGAACTTTGGCTGTCCATGAACCCATGGGCAACCACTGTGTGTGGGACAGCAGGAGCCAAGGGGATCCCATATGGAGAAAACCTTTCTCAGGGGTGGGAAATGGAGATTTGAAAGAAATTGATTTAATAAAAAATGTATTCAGAATAATCTTGTGGAATTGTTGTCAGAGCAGGATGAAATACCCTGAAGTCTCACCTTGAGGTCTGGAACAAGTTGGATCAGTAAATAAAAGAAAAACTGATCAGCCTTTTCTGCCAGGAGAAGGCCAAGTGCTGCCTCTCGCTTCCATATCCCTGGGAAACTGAACCCAGGGAATGTTTGATGTGTGCAGGGCTGAAAAAACTTGGTTTTGTGGAGAATGGAGGGAACTTCAGGTGGTATTTGTGGAAGAATGGGCTTAGAGAGAGAAGTTTGTGCAAGTTTTCCTTGCAAAGAGTGCAGGTGGGGCGTGGAAATGTTAACAAAGTGTTAATGTGTCAGGGCTACAGGTCCCTGCTCAGGCAACTGAGGCATCCATTCTTGAAACTCGTATTTTAAATAAAATCTGTTCTTGTTCCACACTGAAGTTTTATTTCCTTGAAAACTGTAGCCACATTTCTACTTTGAAGCAGTTTTTTTTTTTAAAATTCATATGCCTTAGCATTGACAGATTTAGGGATAAACAAATTAATAAAATTCAAATAGGGTCCTTTTAGTGAGCTGTTATTTAAACTTGTATGCAAATCTGTCTGAGCCTTTGGGCCCTTGGCAGCCATCCTGGGCTGTGCATCATTGTCTCACTGGTTGCAATCCCTGCTTTCTCCTTCTGCAGGATATTCCTGCTGATAGGCTGGGAAAAATACCTCTTGTGTGGTTTGCTCAAAGAAACTGAGAAAAGATACAATCCAGTAGATACAGTTTTGATAAACCAGGTTTGTTTTGGGAATGTGTAGCTGAACTTGATACCTGTGTGCCCCAAACATAATAAAATGTAGCAAAGCACTTCACATTAGTTGGAAAATAACTTGAAACAATGTGTGTTTGGCTCCAAAGGTTTTTTTTCCAAAAAGTTGAGCAGCTAAATTAGAGGATTTACCTTTGAAAAAATAAACATTTGAAATCAATGATTATTTTAATAAACTTTGCTAGCAGGAGCCCTTGTTTCAGTATAGCATGGACATTCCTACTCTGAGTTTCTACCACTTGATTCAAATTAAGTACAAGCTCTTCCTCAGCTGGAAAATTGTTAAGGAGTTCAAAAACGAAAGAAAAAAAAGTTCATCGTTTAGTTTGAAGACAAAGTTCTGGAATTGGATTATTTTCGTTCATTTTGCCTTCTGGTTTCTCTTAATTGGTACAGCTCATTAGCTGCAGAGAGCACTTATCAAATTTCCAAACAGCTTAGATTTTATATAGGTATCACTTGCTGTATGTAATGTACATATTTTTTAAAGAATAGAGTAAGTGGTGAAAGAAAGAAGTTCAAAGCTTGTTTACAAATAATACTTAATCAAATTATTGTTTCATAAATAATAGCCAAATGCAATGTTTTTAAAGTAAAAAAAAATAGCAGTTTTTACTTTAGCCTGGAGTTGAGGTGTGCAGGCTCATTTCTTGGTTAAAGCCAGCTGAGGACTCTGGGTAGGTTTGTGAGCAGATTTTGCCTGCTTGACTGGCTCTTTTTAGTGATTTTTGTTTATTTTAATTTACTGTTCAAATATTATGGTTAGTCACAGAGAGCTTGTTCCCTGATCAGATCACTTAACCTTTGCATTGGGGAAATGAAGCTGAAGAAAGCATTGGAAATTCTCTGCAGTGAAGGTGGATCATTTCAGAGGAGAGGTGTCTAAATCTGGGGAAATAAGTAGCATCTCAAATGCTTTTTTTATCTGTGCTATATCAGCATATACCTCCGCTCCAAGTTTAAAATGAGAATTTTTTTCTTTTTTTTTGTGAGGGATGAGGTAAGAGAAAGATTTGTAGGTGCTAATCATACATACTTTTATTATTTTTTTTTATTAGCAGCTGTTCTTTCCTGCATCTTTGACCAAGGTGTGAAAATGGGTTTGATCTTTCTCTGGCACATTTCATTGCCTGTTTGTCAGTGGAAAATACAACCTCTCAGTGATAATGGTATTCATGCAGTTGCAGTAAAATGCAGCCAGTAACCCAGCAGATGGATTCACAGTGTGTGGTTTGTGTCTCAGGAGCAGACAGCAGCGTTTTGTGTGGCTGGATGGAGCTGGGTAAGCAGTGCTCCAGGTTTTATGGAGGAGACAGCCCTCATCTTATAAACTGGATCTGTCATCTTTGGATCTTGGATATATGTGCACTACAATTTGGAGGATTAAAGGGCATAAAGAGATCAGGCTGGATGGGCATGGAGTAACCTGATCTACTGGAAGGTGTCCCTGCGCACGGAACTGGATGATTTAAGGTCCCCTCCAGCAGGAATCATTCTGTGATTTTATGAGCACCTGGCAGACTTTGTTATTGACAAAGCGCTGGTGAAAAATACTGCTGAAACTGATACCTTAGTTATGAATGTCTCCTTCCATCTTCTGCCTTGTCATCTGCAAGAACATAAGAGTTCTTCCAGTGAACACCACAGTGGAGGTGTCTGCTGCTTCAGGTGCTAAATGTGGTGGGTTTGCAGCAAAATCCTTCTACAATTTATGTCTCAGAGTACAAGTCCCTTCTGGAGCCTGCAGGGACTAACAGCCCTCAGTTACTTGGCAGCTGGCACCTTGGTGAAGCAGCAGCTGGGCTGGAGAGCAGAATGGGGGGAGTGACAGCTTTTTCCCTGGAAAGTGTCGTGTGTTATTTCACACTGTGAATGCAGGAGGAATCTTCCTCTGCAGAGACAGAGTTGGGGCTGTTCAGCCTGGAGAAGAGAAGGCTCCAGGGAGACCTTAGGGTCTCTTCCAGGACCTAGAGGGGCCCCAGGAGAGCTGGAGAGGGACTCACATGGGTATGGAGCAATGGGACAAGGTGTCAGACTGAAGGAGGGTGGGTTTACATGAGATATTAGGTAGAAATTCCTCCCTGTGAGGGTGGTGAGGCCCTGGCACAGGGTGCCCAGAGAAGCTGTGGCAGCCCCTGGATCCCTGGCAGTGCCCAAGGCCGGGTTGGACAGGGCTTGGAGCAGCCTGGGACAGTGGAAGGTGTCCCTGCCCATGGCAGTACAGCTGGGACTGGATGAACTTTGAAGTCCCTTCCAACCCAAACCATTGTGGGCTTCTCTTCCATGGTTCTGTACAGCCTGGACGTGGCTCTCTGAAGCACTCGGTCACTGCTCAGTTCTGTGCTTGTGCAGCAGAGGAATGGGAATGGGATTTGTGTTCCCCTGAATTCTTGGGCTAGAATAAAAATTGGGAACTCTTCAACTGAACTGTCTTCTCTGTTGTGTTCCTTGTGGGAATCTTCAATCCTCCCAGCTTACAATGGTTTCTTCACCTACAAATAGCTATCCTCTCATAGTGATAGTTACAGAACTGCTGTTTGATGGGGGATCTTTGAATATTCCCTATTTCTTCATTCTTTGGACACTCTCCCTACCCATTTCCTTTAGATTTCCCTGCTGTCATGATGAATGCTTAGAGAACATTCTTGCTGCAGTTAATGAGATTCAGACCTTTCAACAGCTCAAGGCATCTTGAATTTTTATCTAAGATTATCAAGTACTGATGCTGTTATTTTATTTCTTCTTTTCTGAACCACCAATTCACTATCTTATAATTGCATATATTTGAACAGAGCCTTAAAATTGAATGCAGTTTCTTAGGAGCTCTCAAAAATTGTTTTGGTGACTAAGTATTGAATGAAATACATTTGAACTTTAAATTCTTTTTTCTTTAAAGGAAAGAAAAGAGAAGTTATTTGTGGAATAGTTACTTTTTAAAATGAAGTCTTACCAGTGTGCACCACTAGAGTGTAGTGCTCATTGACAGATTATTACTGGTCTCCTTGTAATTTTGCCCAACAGTGAGGCTTCTATGGATTGTTTTACAATCTGCAGAGATGCCAATTTTTTCTTTATTAATTATGTATTTTTTAAAGTTTTCTTACATTTGGGAGCAGTTTGTCATGGATTTTTTTTTTTAGTACTTTACATCCCAGTATCTTGGAAAATAAAATATAAAACGTAAATCAGTTTTGAAACAGTTTTCTTTATATTCAACCACTTTTCAGCAGTATTTTAATAGATTTGGAAGGTACATAACACAATCACCACCAGTAGCAAAGAGAAAATATTTAGTTCATAATATCTGGCAAGTGAAACATTAGTCCTGCCTGCCTTTCATCTTCCCTGTTTGATTCATCTGGGTTTTTTTTAAACTGAAGGATTTTGGGCCAAGAGTGCCAGTGCAGCTGTAATCCTCAGCACAATATGGAGCTAAGCCAGTTGGACTTTGTAGGTAATGATCACAGGGAAAACTGTGGAAATGTGATTATTAATGTATTTGTATAAACACAGTAATTGGGGAGGGAATTGCTCCAGCTCTCTGAGGACCTGTATTTATGGGAAATCATTTTCAAAATGGAAAAGATCTGACATGATTAAACTATTTTAGTAAATCAGCTTGGCTTTCCAGGTTCAAATCACAATGGAATCTCTAGGACTTCTGATAAATTGGATGGAGTGATATTACTTAATGGTTTTTTTTTTTACAATTATGTTATTCTTCTTTCTTGCTGTGTGTTTTAATATAAGCATACATTAGATGTTTTCTTATTCTGCTTGATAAAATAACCTTTTCTCAGAAAAATTACATTTTTAGAACATACATATTGATTTATATGCAGATTTTCTTATTCCAGACAGTTCTAAAACTCTAATTTTTTTTTTTTAATGATTTTCTAGTTGGTCGAATTATGTTTCAGCTCTTCTCAGACATTTGTCCAAAGACTTGTAAGAACTTCCTTTGCTTGTGCTCGGGTACGTAGCTGGAATTTTTCTTGTTAATAAATAACATTTTTATTGTTCATAATAATTTTTATTGTTAATAATAATGTTATTGTTAACAGTAATTTTTATTGTTAATAATTATTTGTTTATACAAGTACAAACCACAGCCATATGCAAGGCCTGTGCCCACCTGAGGAGGGGGGATGTTGTCCCATTGTGGACCATAGAATCTGCATAAAGCCATTGTCAAGCCAGGGTGTTTTTGGCAGATGGAGGAGGACAGAGTGATCCTGGCATTGCTGTCAGAAGTAGATTTTGCCCCTGGAAAGGTCCCTTCTGCCCAGAGAGAGAGTGGCTTTTAAATTCCAGCAGCTGGCCTTGCAGATGCTGCCCACCTATGGAACAGCCACGGGCCCATCTGCTGTGGTGCTTTGTCAGGAGCTGATTCCCTTCTGATCTCAAACGGGCACCACTTGGCACCCAATTCACAGTGGGTCACACTGAGCTGCCAGTCCAGCTGCTACCAGGGCAGCCAATTCTCCTCTGCCATCCCATTTCCACGGGGTTTGCAGGACATGGAAAGGGCTGTTTAGGCAAGATGGGGGTCAAAGACAATAATTTTTCTTTTCCTGACAAAGATTATGCATGTCTAGAGCAAAAAGAACAAGGCTGGTGTTTGGGCTGAAACAAAAGAGAAGCTGAGCTCAAGGGCAGTGTATTGGTTCTTGTGTGAAAGTGTCTGAGCTTAGGGAGCTGCTGCAGCTCTTGCCAGTGGAACAACGGCTGTGTCTTTACCTGACTGGGAAAGCACTGGCAGTATTCTAAAGGGGGGTAAGAAAAGGGACTGGGACTTCTGGCCACAGCCAGAGCTTCCATTTCACCTCCAGCTCTGTGTAAGAGCTTTAATTTTCAGTTTTAAAAGGAACAGAAATATTATCATTTATGTGTTCGTAATATATAATTTCAGAAAATACCATGAAAGTATTACAGTGCCATAAAAATACTTCATTTGCTGTGAAGTATACCATAGATAACTCATTTCATTGTTAATTTTTGTTTTTCCTTCTATGCTTTAAGACTTCCAGTTTTGAGTGTAGAGGTGGCATCTTTTAGTGTGCCATACAGGCAAATAAACAGATTCTTCTCCTGATCTTTCCACCTGGAGTGTAAATAACAGCATCATGTATGTTAATTCTTGTTTTAGAATGTCAGCAACCTTGTTCTTACCCAAATAACTCAAGATTTAAATCCATAATCTAATGTTTATTGAAGACACTCATAATAACTTGAATTATTCTTAATTAGAAATGTTTGCACTATATCTACACCATTGTAAGAAACAAAGTTTTGTCTCAACTGTAATTTGAAGAGACTTGTTTAAACCTTGTTATTGTTTTTCCTCCAACCTGTTCCCGTTTCTCCAGCAGCAGCAGAATCTCTCCTTAGAGCATCCATAAGTTACTAAGAAAACAACCTGCCTCCCTTGCCAGGGAAAATCTGACAAACATATTTTTTCTTCAAACAGATGAAAACTTTATTCTCAAACATGACAGAGCGTTCCTTTTGTCAATGGCAAACCGAGGGAAACATACCAATGGTTCCCAATTTTTCATGTGAGTAGATTTGATCCCTCAGTGGAGCTTTTCTTACACAGAGAAGCGCTGTTCATGAGAAAGATGGTATTGCTAAATTATCCATATCCATGTTCTCCATCTGATCCTGGCTAGGAGTGAGTGGCACCTGCAGCAGGAAGTGTTAGAGATCAATATTTCCTTGTGGTATTCATTTAGATTAAAGCTGGTGCTCCATGGATGTTCTTCCTTTGTGGCTTTTTTCCCTAAAAATATGATTTATGTTCAGTTCTTAGCAGCCAGGAAGCAGATTCTTTGCCTTTGTGGGTGCACAAATCTTATCAGATTATCTGCAAATGACAATGATGAGCATTTTATGTAAGGGGGAGTGAGATCTAGATGTGGTTTGTTTTGCTTTTTAAAAAATGGTGATTTTTGATTTACTTTTTGGGGGTGTTTGTTTGTTGTTTTTTCAGGAGGAGAATGAGTGGGGGCTTCTATTTGGTAATTGTGATTACTATTATTAATTCTTTTTTTTTAGTATTTGTTCCTGACATGCTTTTTTAATACATATTCTGCATAATTCTCTTAACTTGTGCATATACCAACACTGTATAGAATTATGTGCTGATAACCAGATTTTTCCTTCATTACCTTTAAAAAATGCCATTCTAGTAACCACATTCTGTTAAATTCTAGAAATTACAGACAACATTTTTACCCTTATTCATAAGTAAAACACTCAGGTCTGATAATTGAGGGTTTCCTGGTCAAAGCAGGTGTGTTTTAGGTTGAGTGTCAGTTTTTTTAAGCTTGCGAAGTTTGATGTGATTATTCCTTTTGTTAATTCCCTTTTCAAAACTGCCTCCTGTTAATGTTTACCGGTTTGTATTTGGAAGGAGCAGGTTGATAACTTTAGTCTAGAAATACTTTGTGAAACAACACTGGGGTTTGAAAAGTAAATTTTAGCATAGTTACTTAACTAGAAAAAGTCTCTTTTTTTCTTTGCCATCTTTCTTGGGGGATAAGAATGAATGGCGCTTCCCTGTCTTCAGTAAAGGAGTAAATTGTCCTCAAAAATCTTGTTTTTTTTTCTTTGCCTGAAAAAGATCTTCAGTATGATATGATGTAGTTCAGATAAGAAACATTTTTTGGTCTTTTCCTAAAAAATGTCCTGAAAATGGAAGATGCATAGGAACCTAAAAGAAAGTCTGACACTTACCACTGTTTAGACATTCAATAGAGATAAAATTCTTTTCAAAAGCTTGTTTTCTGTTCCCTTCAAAGGAAATTTTACATGTTGTGCTTCATTACAATAAATCTGAAAGGATGTGTGTGCACATTAATATGGAAAACAGTTTATATAAATACAACTCCATGGCTTAATAAGCTCTCTGAAGGCATTGCTTCATTAGTTTTTACTTGATGACTTGCCTTTGGGTTCTCTTGCCTTAATTTTCCATTTTTAAGCTTATCTGAACATTAAACATGAAAACCTAATGATGTCACATCAGTCAAGCAGCTGTCATTTGAGGGCTCTAAAGTTTCTTTTCTCTCCTACATTTGATTCCAAAGTCATCTTCTTTCCCTGATGCTTGGTAGGCTCAGCTTGTTCAATCAGATTTAAACACTTTGTCTCTCCCCACACACCAAAACAACCCAAGGTTGTGTTGGATACTAAATTATAATTAATACAGGCCAATAAATGAAGATTATTTAAAAGCACTTTCATCAAATACAGAAGTATTTTGAAAGATTCAGATTCCTTGAAAAGTTCTGGTTTTTTTCATAGAATTACTTTAAGGAGAAGTGTGAGTTCAGTGGAATTGAGGCAGAGTAAGAGACCTAAAAGCTTCCACGTGAGCTGGATTCACCTGAGCTGCCTGCAGGAATCCTGAGCTGGTTTTAGCTCTGGTTAGGCTTAAGTTTAGGCTCCTGGGCCTTCAGGATGAGGATGCTGTGGAGCTCTTCCCTTCCCATGCAGATTTCTGGGCTACCTCTAATGTCTGAAAAGGCACCAGCCTGCCCTGGAGCCAGGGGAGAGAATCAGAATTCCAAGTGGGAAAGAGCTCCTAAAGGTTGTATCCAGGCAGTTTGTGCCTTCACTTCAAAATGCAGTTTATTAAAGCAGTTAGTCTTGCTGGGTGGCATTTGTCTGGTTACTTGAGGGAATGTGCAGTGCATCTATAGAGTTTTCCTTTAATAAAATATTTTCTTCCTTTACACTTGAAGCTGAAATTAAAATGTGTTTTTTATACTCCCAGTAATGCTCAGTTTCTCTGTAGTTTATCATTAGGAAAAATATTCTTCAAATGCTTAACCTGAAAAGTGTGTGAAAGGCAATATTCACTGGTAGCCTTCAGATTTTTTTTTTTTAATATTTGTATATATTTCATTTCATTGATTAAATTTATAGAAAGGGAGATAATTAATCTGAGCTTCTTTAGAGCTCTGCATTTGTTTTCAGAGATGAGAACTCTATATCTTGTACACATCTAATGTAGCAGATAAGGAGTGCAAATAAGTGATTTTATTTTCTTTTATATAATAGTTTGTGCAAGTAGGACTAAAATAATAGCAAGGATCCTAACTATAAGATTCTGTTAATTCATCAAAATTCCCTGCTCCAGGGAGAAAAATTGTATTTGGAATAATGAGTCTTTACAGGAAGTAATCAGGCAGCAAATGTCTCTTTGGCATATTGCACCAGCAAACCAGGCACAACAAGACTCTGCAATGCCTAAAAGTTGATTTAAAGTGGACAGTTTTATTTGAAACAGAATCTCCAGACTCATGCTAATGTAAACAGCCATCTGAGCCATCCTAAAAAATCATCAGCTTTCTTGGAGCAGTCAGGGGTTTCTCTGGCATGAAAGAGCTTGGAGGGTTGATGGGCAGCAGTGAGAGCTGGGCATGGAAAAGGCAGTGGAAGTGATGTCAGGAGGCTTCAGGGAAAAGCATGGACTGAAATCCAGGCACTGCTGGGGAGTGGCACAGGGAGAGGTGGGGAGAGTCAGAAGTGTGTCTGTGTAGTATCACAAGTGCTGGGTTTAGTGCTTGTGGACTGTTTTCCTCCCTTTTTTGTTTGGTTTTTTCTTTTTCCCCTAATAGAGTAGGAGCAACAGTTGGGTGGGAAGGAGAAAGTGTAGCTGAGGGAGGATTGTGAGTTCCATGCACATGTGCTGTAAATAGGCCAAGTCTGCTCTCATGTGCCTGAGGAACATTTCCTGCTCTGAGGAACACAGCATTTTGCAGTCCAGCAGAAAGGATCCAGAGAGAATCCCTCTACATTTGTAAAATACTGCAATTTCAGTTTTCTGTACCCAAAGGCTTGCAGCAGTTCATTGCAGGCCTGTGTTGGAGGGAGTTGTGAAGGTACCAGGTTGGAAATTGGCTCGTTGTGTTTTCAGGGAGCCCCACTCTTTTTTTCCTTTTTTTTTTTTCTCTTTGTGAATAACTCC